TGGTGAGAACTGAACTCCAGGGTCACACATGTGCTAGGCAATTGTGGTTTTTAAATAAAGATACATTTATATTTACATAAACAAAGATAATTGAAAAAAGATATTTATATATTCATATATTTATTATATTTATATTTATAAATTTAATAAAGATATATTTTAAAATAAAGACATATTAACAGCCAAAATGTTTCTAAATTTTATGCACAAGAATCCAGAAATTAAAAATGGGAAAAGATATAGAGGATAGCAATAAATAAAAAAGTTCAAGACATTCAAGGAAAATATGAAAACTCTTTCTTTTCTAGAACACAGAAGTACATGTGAAAGCGTGTGACTTCATCTCAGCACAACAGTGGCTGAGACAGGATGATTGTGAGATACAGGCTATAGCTGGTGATATCTAATGATTTTTCCATTTTTTCCTATTTCTGACACTGTACTAAGTTCAATCTGTCAGATTCTATTTCTTTATGTATAAAATAATTTCTGTTACATCATGAAATCAGTCAAAATAGTGCTTGAGAATTTTCAGTCCTGTTTGTGTTCTTGAAATATACAGTTTATAAAGTTTGCTTTTTCACTGTCATTGTCACCTAGAGCATACTTTGTTCCAGATAGCAAGCTCAGAAAGTAAGACAATTAGAGGTAGGAAAGCAATTTAATTTAAATTAAAGATGGTTTTGAAAGTCCACCTGAGCCTTCTGGTATATTCTCATACAATGATTATCATTAGAGCTGTTTGTCCTAGGGCTTCAAATTTTGTATGCTTGCTAGGGAGAAGAGGCTAGGAAGACAATTACATTGCTTTGATTAAAGTAATTTTACTTTTATAGTCTCAGGCAAGGTTAAGGAATGAACATGGTGGCTCTGGGTCCCGGTGGAGATGCTAGAATTGTGTTGAGGCTTCAGGCCATGTTCACTGTAACAGGAGGGGAAAAAAGTAATGCAAGGTGGAGAAATTTAGCTCCCTTTCATCTACATTGTGGCCAAACAAGTGTTTTGGCTACTGACAGGCATTTATTGGCCAAGCTCTATTATAAATCGAAGGACCAGGCCAAGTGCCCATGATAGGCCCTGAATAAATAAAGAAATTAATAAAAATGTCATCAAATTGATGATTTTTTTCAATGATATCATATTCAACATGTCCCAAGGCCTGGCTGGTGTATGCTGGAGCAGTGGCCTTACAAGCTATTTCAAAATGCCAATAAGATAGTAGTGTCTTATAAGTACCTCCTAAAATCTAAGAATTAATCAACAAAACTAATATGCAGCCATCCAGTTTGCAGTCAATGTAACAGCTCATGTTGTCTTTCCTTCATGGAAATATTAGCATACATGATGTACTTACTAATTCTAATTCTAATGAATTCTGACAGATGATAATTCTTACTTTTGGAGAAGTTATGGAATATTTTCCCCAAATGTCATAGCTAATAAGCACAGAACTAACATTGGCTGAGTAGCTTTCATCTGAAATTCTTGTCACAAATACATTTCAGACTTTGGAAGCTTTCGGTTACTGGAGAATTTGCAGATTTTGTAGGTTATTTGTACAATGATATCCATTATATCTTCATATCCTTCAAACTGGTAGGTGTTTTGAGTTCTCTGAGTATTGTAAATGATTATGTGATACATGGGTTGAAAATGTTTAAGGTTCCTACACCTGAATTAGCCAATATTTAAGTGGCACTAACAGAATGGGAATTATTCTTAAAGTGGAGAGTGCTTACGGCCCTGGTATTATATAGTGCTATAGTCCCCCTTATCTGAGGTTTTGTTTTTTGTTTATGACTTTATAACCATGGTCTGAAAATGGAAATTTCAGGAAATAAATAATTCATACACTTTAAACTGTATGCTATTCTGAGAAATATAGTGAATTATCTTGCTGTCCTGTGCTGTTCTGCTTAGAATATAGTATATTCCTTGCTCAACGTATTCATAAATTGGTAAATTCTCCTCTGATTTAAGTTGCTTTGCAAGTTTTCCAGGAAAGTCCTGACAATGTACATAAAGAGTTGTTTTCTTTGTTTTGCTACTGACATTGATTTGGAAGCCTCCAATGCAGTGGGCCACAACATTGATTATGCCCAAAGCAGATCATAAGCAGTACAGGCTGTAAAGTGTTAACCCCACAAATGGGCTTCTTTATAGAAGTGAGTCTGACCAAAGCCTACATGCTGAGCTTAGAGTAATTTTCACCCAACTTCCATTCCCAAAATTAAACCCCTCTGAACTAGATGGATATTGTTTTAATTACAACCATATATTTTGTCTATTTTGTTCCTAATTTGAGAATGCTTCATTTTATTTTTCACAAGCCTTGCTTCCATTAGTTTCCATAGCAACTGCATGGATTGTGCATCTTAACAAGTAGTCCTATCCACATAGCTCACCATTACCCCTTCTGATTACCAATAAAAATCAGTGGCTTGGACTCGCCAGGGCCATGGTCAGTTATAGGCATTGGTCAACCTGGCTCCCCAGTTTCTGTCTCTCTTAGTTCTGTCTTTTAGGTTGTTTTTCCCCTCAGGTTTGTGTCAAACATGTCAAACACTTTGAAGGAGACTGGAGCCTACTGCAGAAGTTTCGTGTAATGTTTCAGGTGTTTTCAGTAATCTAAAAAAAGCTCTAGGACAACATAAAATATGCAGTTATATTTTAAGCGAGGTTGTCTTTGAAGATAGACAATCTGTGAAATGTTGGGCAAGACATTTAACACTTCAATTCATTTTCCCCATGGGAACAGTGATAGTTATAGTCTTTGAGTTTGGTTTCACAACAGTTGCAATCATCATATGGAGATTATATATATATAT